CTTCCTTCCTTCCTTCCTTCCTTCCTTCCTTTCTCCTCTTCTCCCCTGTACCTCCCATCCTCCTCCTTCTTTTCTTTTTACATTGAGGTGAAACTCACATAATATTAACCATTTTAAAGTGAAGAATTCATGGGCAATTAGCACACTGGCATTATAAGTAATATTGTGCTGCCACCACCTTCATCTGGTTCCAGAACATTTTCATCACCCCCACAGGAAACCCCACAACCACTGAGCAGGTCCTGCCCATTCCCCACTCCTTCCAGCTCCTGGCAGCCATCAATCTGTTTTCTGTCTCTATGTATTAACCTGTTCTGGGTATTTAATTTAAATGGAGTCATACAAGATGGGACCTTTCGTGTCTGGTGTCTTTTGCTGAGCATACTGTTTTCAAGGTTAATCCATGTTGTATCTGTATTATCTATGTTGTACTTTATTCCATTTTATGGATTAATAATATTCTATCATATGGATATATCACAATTTGTTTATCCATTTGTTCGTTGATGAACATTTGAGTCCCATTTTCTTTTTAAAGAACATAAGTCAACTAATAGAGCTCCTCTACTCAAAACTCCCATACAACACAAAGTAGAAGCCAAAGTCCCGCCAGTACTGCGTGGTCTGGGTCCCAGCTTCCTCTCAGACTCGAATCCTTCCCTCCCCTCACGTGTTCAAGTCCAGCCACGCAGACTTCCCAGCTCTACTGAACATGCCAAGCATGCTCTTTCCCCTGGGCTACGGCACTGGCTGATTCCTTTGATTGAGACAGGTATCGCTGCAGCTCACGCCCTTGCTTCATTCAAGCTGCTGCTTGATGTTACCTTGGCATTGAGACCTTCTATGATCTTCCCATTTACAGTCATCTCCATACCCATCTCGGCACCTCCATCCCCCTTCCTCGAGTCTATTTTTTCAGAAACATTGATTATTTCCTAACTGTAGATAACTTACTTAGAACGTATTACTTGTATCTATCATGTTTGTTTATTGTCTGTCTCTTTCTCTATCCCCTCCCCAACTAGAATATATTATGAAATAAAGAATTCTGTTTGTTTTGTTTATTGATTTATCCCCAACCTTAGTATGGCCTGGGAGATAACAAGCACTCAGTGAGTATTTGCTGAATGAATGCATTAATGATGAAGAGTGAAAGCCTGGAGCACGCAAGTCACCGAGCACGGGGCCGGGCACATGGGCCAAGGCTCCCGGTGAATTTTCATGCACTTCTGTTCATGCTTCTTCATTTATCCAGCTTGCGAACCCCCTGCCTTCTCATCCAGTCCACTTGCTGCACTCCCCATTTCTTCTCTAACTCCGCATCTATCTCTCTAATGATGTAAACATGAGAGGAACAGGTTTCCTAGGTAGAATTCTCCAATAGAGAGAGACCTACCTTTTCTGGAGGGACAAAACCAAGGTATCATTGTACTGGACATATTTATTTATCCATACCTGTTTCTTATCTATGTCCTCTGGCTCTATACTGGAAAAATACATTGGATTTTAGGGTTTTTTTGGGGGGGTGGGTATGATTGCTTAAAAATAGATCCACCTACATCTTATGTAGAACTATGTTGTTTCCAGAATATATGACCCTAAGGAATCATGCCAATCACTGAGGTCATTAAACATCAAATTTTAACATATTTCAACACTTGTGAAAATGATATGATAAACATACATCCAAATGAGCAGAGAATTATCTTTTAAATTGGTGCACCAAGGATATCATGTACTTTTTCTAATGGTTCTTCTGTTATTTAGGACACTCTTGGAACTCCCCTTTGGAATTGCCTTCAGGACCTGTGTTTTGAGTCTCCTTTGTAGCAGGCACCATCTCTCCTTTGAGGTTAGATCTGACTGTGCACTTACTAAAGGAGCCCAGCGAGGCAGCTCTGCTGACTAAGATGCAGGATGACTATGATACAGATTTCAGTCATGAAGAACCAGCCGCAGCTTTCCTGAGTTGACTGTAAACCAAAGCAGAGGCATTTTTGTGATATGTGTGATCTTCCTTCATGACAACGATTTAAGGATGTAAAACATTTATGGAAATGCAACTACCAGAGATTAAAAAATAGCCAGAATGCATATCGACTTCATTTATCCATATTAGCAATTTGATTTGCACATAAGTTGTTGGTACACATCAGGGATACCAAGTTGGCCACTCAGTACAGTGTATGACTCCTGGAAGAATTTGTGGGTCCTATTACTGCACCCACAGAGTGGGCTAACAGGCTATGTAATTAGGCAGATTTTAGGCTTGGTGACAGTACAAGCAATTTAGTCCCAAATGTCCTATATCTACCCACTCATGGTGTTTATGTTAATCCCATGCCTTCTTTCACCCTCTTTTTTTTCCAAAGGAAATTTGAATGCTAGGTGTTTCTGTGCTGAAAAGAAAGCTTTGGGTGTTTCATGCCCCAGTTCAAACACCCTTTCTGCCACTCTCAGCTAAAAATAATTCTTCCTTTTTCTGAATTTTTATACAATTTTAGTGACCCTCACTTGGCACTCCCATCAGCTGTTTTGTGCTGTGCAATTTGTCAATAGCCCTCAGCTCACTTGATAGGGTGTGTCTTTTCCCAGCAGAGGTGCTCCCGGGGAAGAGTCCTGGGTTCTTCAGAGAAACCCACTCACTTTTGAAAGAGCAGAAGATACTCCCACATTTTTGAATCTCCCACCTCAGCCTTCTTTTCTTTCTCCTTGGTCCTTTGCCAGCCTGCTTGCTTTAATTTAGAATTTAGTCTTGGGTTCTGGTGCTTGTTATTTATGAATCTCTTACTCATAACCAGAGTCCTAGCATTGACTTGCCCTGGTTACTACATTAACTCTATTCCTGCTGGACTTTGGTGGCCTACCAAAGGAGAGGGAAATATTTATTCAACCAATACTGATGTGCTTCTTCTTTAGATGAGGCACCATGGAAGGTGCTCAGTATTCAAGATGAAAAGAGTCTCTTTCCTCGAGGAATTCTCACTACTAGAAGTCTAGAGTTAGAGGAAAAGTCTGGGTGATGAACTTGGACAGAAATGATAGGAAACCTAATAAATTGTGAATCTTAACCCCAGGTCCAGTTCCAAACAAATCTTGAATATATTACGGAAATTACAATTTTTTTTTTCCTTTTTGTCTTTTTTTACTAACTGGTAACGGGATCGCAACCCTCGGTGTTGCGCACGTACTGGGGACCGGCAACAGGATTGCAACCCTCGGTGTTGCGCCCGCACCACGCTCAGCCAGTGAGCGGGAACCGGTCTCCACATGGGATCCGAACCCTCGGCGGGAGCGCCGCGGCGCACTCTCCAATGCGCCACCGGGCCAGCGCGGAAATTACAATTTCTGAGCTGGAAAAATTCTTGCAGCTAGCTGCAGAATGATGGCTTTTGAAGGAACAGGAAGAGCCGGGTGAAGGATTTGGCGAGGGGTAAACATAAAACCCATCTAGTGTCATGAGCAGGTTTCACCGGGCTGCCTATTTTACCCCTTGTTTAAATTTTTCTGGGATTCCGATTTAAAAAAGGAGATTTTCATGTGGGGATTAAAGAAAAAAAAAAAGATCAATGGTCTCTTGGACATCATTTTCTTTCATTGGTGTGGTATGACTTTTAAAATAATGAAACCTGCTGTGATGCAACTGAAGATCTAATTTTTTTCTGGAAATGGGAGCCCAAGCTTACCAGTAAACATGAGCTTTCGCATCACAGATGTTGTGGTCAATGTTTTTTGATTATGAAGCAAGCTCTAAAAAAAATAGAATGACTAAAGTGATCTTCCTCTACATCAATTGCAAGTTATCTTTGACTGCATCTCATTGGAGGGGTGGCTTTGAGGGCCAATGTAAGTAGGTTATCCTCTCATCTAACCAGCACAAGTAAGCCTCTGGCTGCTGTGAGTGACACAAGCCCAGAGGAGGTGGAGGGAAATGCGGGTGAATTGCATTTTGAGGTCTGGGTTGCTGTTTGTCACTCTGTCTCTTGCCATTGCCAAGCACAAGCAATCTTCTTTCACCAAAAGTTGTTACCCAAGGGGATCACTGTCCCAAGCCGTCGACACCCTCTATATCAAGGCAGCATGGCTCAAAGCAACAATTCCAGTAAGTACTAGGCTCTGTTTAGAATGATGACCTACTGGACATTTGTAATCATGAATACAATGTATTTCTCTTTGTTTTGTTGTAGGAAGACCGCATTAAAAATATACGATTATTAAAAAAGAAAACAAAAAAGCTATTTATGGTAAGCCAGAAAGTCTTTTTCATGTTTCTACTTGTTTGGTGCTTTTTTCCCCCCACATTTTTACTTTTCCAGATGGTCATTAAGAAATAATCAGGGGGATGTTTCAGTGACATTT